ATGTCTGGCCGATTAGCTTTCGAGGCTGGTCGTAGCACTACTGTCCCTGGGGATATTGTATTCTACACCGGCACGAACGATGCTTCTGGCTCCCTTTGTGTCTCAACAGCAGACGTGTGCGACGGGTCTCCCGGCGATGTTGTGATTCAGACAGGAGCTTCGCCAAATAGTGGTGCCATATCTATGGAGACTGGTGGCGCTGTTGATGCTACTTCAGGTGCTATTACTTTTGATGTGGGTTCGACGTACTGTCGAGAAGGAGCCGATGTCATCCTTCAACCTGGCGCTGGCATCCCAGGCGGTAGTACTATGCTCCATGGCGGCCGCGGATGGTGTACCGATTCAGCTTGCGATGGCGGCGGTGGTGTCATCGCACGCGGCGCCGGTGCCATCACTTCTGGCGACGGCGGATCCCTAGATTTGCGCGGTGGTGATGCAGAGTTCACGGTCGGTTCTGCTATCGTTTCCATTTCTGGTGCTGGGCTTGATCAAAGCGGCAGTGTTGTTATTGAGACGCATGATTCTGGTTCTTGTGGTGTGAGTGGTGCTGTGACGGTGGCGACTGGTAATTCATTACAAAAGGATTCGGGATCGGTTAGCATGTCTACTGGATCGACCTCCAAGCAAAGCGGTGGGCGCATTGATATAGCCTGCGGTCTAAGTGGCGGAGGCACTGCGGCACACGTTCGCATAGAAGCAGGTGGGAGCTTAGCTGCAAATGGTACCATCACGGCTCTCAAAACAGGAAGCAGCACCTGTGGCTGCACAGGCAGATGTCATATCATAGCGCCCAGTTCCCCCTGTCGTGAGCCTGTCACAGTAGCAACTACTCGCTCTGGAAGCGGCGCTACTCGAAGTGGTAATGTTGCCCTGCGAAGCGGGACCGCGGCTCGGAGAGACTCCTCGTCAGTTCGCATCAGTAGCGGCATTGCGGATGTAGCCGCGTGTGTCCTCTTAGAGGCAGGCAAAGGCAAATTGGCGGGTGGCCGTGTCGAGCTTGCCGCCCAACAAAACAGTGCTGGACATATTTCCTGTTCAGCTGGTGGTGGAGTCGCATCAGGAGGGCTCGCTGCCATCACGGCATCAGCTGGTTCTGCCTCGACATCGCGTGGCGGTACTGCTTGTTTGGTCGGGGGCTGTGGCCGTACTTTGGGGGGTGCTGTTGCCTTCAAAGGTAGTACTTCTACGGTAGAAAATGGAGGTGCGTGTGTTGTGACATCGAGATATGCGCTCATGGATGGTCATGGCGGAGATGTCTGCGCTGCCAGCGGTGCAACAACCACGGGATGTGTCGGAAACACTGCCCTGCAATCCGGCGACGGAACGGCAACTGCGCGTGCAGGTGGCGCAGCAGTCCGTGCGGGCACGAGTTCGATTGGCAACGGAATTGCGGTTGCCATTGCAGCCGGTACAGGCATGATGACAGGTGGGAGTCTTAACATCTTTGGTGGCGTTGGGCGCTCACGGGACGCAGCGTCGGGTGGTGACGGCGGTTTAATCCGGATCATTGGGGGGGGGGGCTTTGGCATTGCTGACGGTGATGTTGGCGGCTCTGTCTTTGTCTCAGGCGGTTGCGCTGCAACCGGTCGTGGTGGTCTAGTTGCGATCGGCGCCGGTGATACAACCCACGGTGACAGTGGCGGTGGCACTAGCGTGGCGACAGTGCCAGCCAGCGAAGCCAGCGGTGACGTTGTTGCGCTGTCTGGCCTCAGCTGTGGAGCCCCGAGCGGCTCAGTTGTGGTGGGAACGGGGGTATCTCTGGGCGGCGCTAGTGGTGGGATAAATGCTGGTTGTGGCGCCGCTTCTTGTTTTGACGGGGGCGAAATGAGCATTGAAGGGGGTTGTGCTGCTGCCTGGGCCTGCAGCGGCGGCTCGGTGTTGATAGTAGCGGGTAGTGGCACCAGCCCTCACGGCAACGACGGTGGCGATGGTGGGACAGTCAGCGTCCTCGGTGGCCACGCGCTCGGTGGGGGTGCATTGGATGCGGGTGGTGCCGTTGTCGCCTGCGGTGGGTCAGCCTGCTCAGGACTTGGAGGCTCAATACACGCCTTGACGGCCGTGGCTGGTTCTGCATCCTCGGGTCCCTTGCTGGTGAACACTGGCAACGTTGCCGGTAGTGGGGTCTCGGGCGTTATTGCTCTTTCCTCTGGGTCCAGTGCCCTTGGTGCAAGTGGCTATGTGCGCGTCGCTTCTGCTGCTGCTAGTAATGGTGTTGGTGGCAGCGTCACAGTATGCGTCGGGCTCGGCGATCGA